TCAAGAGTCACTCTCAACTTATCTGTCTATAAAGCCTATATATATATATATATATATATATATATATAAACAGTCTTGGGGAGTAACTAAGGTAGGTAACTAGGGGAGTGACTGCTCTAAAAAGCAAGACACCAAGAGTTTAGGACACGTTATTTGATAACTCTTTTATTTCTTATTTGGGTTTATGTGTATGCTTTATTTTTTCCTCAAAGCATTGTCAGATGCCAGTGTTTCCTGTCATATCTATGCAAAGATTTGATTTCAAAAACACTATCATAGATATTAAACTATGTCTTATGGTTTTAAATCTGTTTATCGATCTCAAAGAGGTGTTAAACTCTGATTTTGTGGTGGCTTTAAAAATGAATTTGTAGGCTATAATGATGAAGTAAAAGTGATGAAGTATTTTGTTGAGTAGGCCTACTACTGTAAGGTTAACCCTGCCTGCATGGTTTACATGTTTCAAAATGATTAACAGTTGAAAACATTAAGTAGAAATGTAATTAGAAAGTAATCCGTTACATTGCTTTAATAAAGTAGTTGAAATAGTTACACTACTTATTACATTTTAAATAAGGTAATTTGTAATCTATTACATTTCAAAAGTAACCTTCCCAACACTATATATATATATATATATCACCAGTATATGTAAGTTCGTTTTTTTTCCTGCTCTTTCCACTTGGCTATTTGTCACCTCAAATGACGTTCAGTGTACGTGATCGAGGACCACTGTGTGTAGTTTAGATTAGGCCTGTCAGATCGGATAGGATTACTGGAAAGTGATGTAAAAATGCAAATAAAGTTTTTTTTAAATGTACTTTATGCATTTAATTTATACATTTTGATTTTCAATAGGCTACTTAGCACAAAATAAACATTTAAATATCTAACGTTACGACATATTTTCATTGTGATGCGTCTAATTTAGTAATAAAAACCGTTACAAAGGTTTTACAAAACACATACTCATCTATAAAATGTGCATCACTTTGCGTTTTTGCTGCTAAATTATATGTAATTTCGAATTAATTCAACTAACTGGAATTGTCGAATTCTCGCGATTTTGGGGCATGCGAGTTCGTGAACGTGTTGAATGATGGGATACACTTAGCTCTTAGCTCTCCGGTGCGGGTGTTAGATGTTAGAGTGTGGATTTAATGTGCATTAATACAACTGAGCTTTGCATTCTTCAGATCTGAGACAGTCTTGCACACTAACTTTCTGTAGCGCTTTCAAAGTGGCCAAGACTACAAGTGTGAGTGGAAGCCGTTTATTCAGCCTTGTGGCGCCCTCTAGTGACCAATGCTGCACAGCGCGAGCGGAAATCCCTTTTAACCACCTTTTTCTTCAACGCGGAAGTAAGCCTATGGGTGAGACTTCCGGTTCATTAGCCGCTATAGGTAAATAACGAGAATAACAACGTGCAATAAACGGTAAAACTGGTTGCACTACAAACCAGTGTGATCATAATTAAGATAATACATTAAAATAATATAAGACACACCAACTTTCAATATCAAGCAGCAAAACGAACTGTTTTGTTCAGCTAAAAATAGCTGGACGGAGTGGACATGAGACCGGAAGCCACTGCAGACCCATAGAACTTACAAATGGCCGCGCCCATTTTTACGACAAAGGTGGATAGTCTTGATTTGTTCTATAGTCTAGATAGACTTTGTTACAAATCACCCCGTTTATAGACCAATCACGTCTAACCCCCGACCGAACCTTTCTCAAAAGGCCTTTTTGATTGCGTAGTTTCCACCTGTAGGAGACCCCTGATAAAAAGGGAGCAAGCCGAAGGAAGAGAGTTTCCACCTGTAGGAAAACGATACGTAAAACATAATAAAAACGTACTAGTAGATTATTGATATGAAAGTGAACAACATAACTCGTGTAGTTCTATGTTTGATTCTTGGCATTTCCTCCAGCCCAACACTGTTAAATAGTGTCTCGGCGTCATCTTTATTAGATAAAAGAGTCGATCGCCCAAGAACAGCTCGCGAGAAACACTCTGGGAAACTTCTAGTGCGCGATCCGTTCACAAACACGCCAGACCTGACGCTCCAGAGGCCTGTCCTGCGGATCCGTGGCCAAACACCTGCGAGAGTCTCACCTGGCGAGGATTACCTGCCCAGATACAGCCGGCTCCCGGATGTGTCGGTGACCTGTTCACGCTCTGGATTCGTTTTAAGGGTAAAAAAGAATTTCTACGGTTTCTCAGCCATCGCAGAGGAGCTGACGCTCGGAGAAACCTGCAAAGGTAACGGGGTCCTTGAGCCGCATAACGACCTGCTCTTCACATACAGGCTCACCGACTGTCAGGGAGAACAACAGGTGAGCGTCATTTCAAAAGAATGTAGTTTGTCATTTGTCATTTATCATTGCCAAATAATGACACGACTCAATTCCAACTGAAAGGTGTTTCCTGATTACGTTGCCTACAAATATGTCCTGCATTATGTGTGTCTGTCACACCGAAACCCACTTCGTTATCACAGAGTCAACGTGGGCGTGGAGTGTCGCTATAAAAGGTAATTCAACCGGTTCTGAATGAGAATAAGATCTTCCTGGGTAGTAACTGTTTACATGCAATCTGGATTAGGCCTACGTAATCAAATTCCAAGAATTAAGTAGGCCTACTTGTAACAAGTTTCAATTACATATTAAAGGCGTCATATGACGTTGCTAAAAAGAACATTATGTTGTGTATTTGGTGTAGTGCAATGTGTGTATGCGGTTTAAGGTTAAAAAAACATTATTTTCCATATAATGTATATTATTGTTTCTCCTCTATGCCCCGCCTTTCTGAAACGCGTCGATTTTTACAAAGCTCATCGTTCTAAAAAAGCGAGGTGTGCTCTGATTGGCCAGCTATCCAGTGCGTTGTGATTGGCCGAATACCTCAAGCGTGTGACGGAAATGTTACGCCCCGTACCATACTTTTAGCAGTTCAGTCAATGTACTGTTAGGAGTGCTTGATAATGTTAGATAACTTTGATAGAAAGGCATGTAATGGATTGCAATCAACCAAAAATTAGACCGCTGTTAGTATGACATTATTTACACAACTATCAATACTTAGTCGGGCAACCCTTAGCCTTAATGACAGCCTGTAGTC